CGTAGGGGGTTAAATTTATTAACATTCATGTCTATAGATTTTATGTTTTTTAGACTCCATCCACTATCTTTTTTTTCGAAAGCACTAATTTTAGTAGTAATTGTATCATTTAAAGATGAAAGAAAAATATTTAAGTCATCTCCTTGACAAATAATATAGTTAAGCGTTTGAAAATCGAACGTATCATGAATATCTTTAGTTTGTTGAACAAAATCAGCATGCAATATGAAGTTTACCTTAAAAATTATGTGTTGATGAATACACTCTTGTAATAAAAATAAAATATCATCTTTAATAGAATTTAAAAATAGTTCAGGAGTTTCAAAATTTACCCATGTCGAACGATCTACTCTACTCTTGATTTTATAAGTTAAAATCCTATTTCCAAAAGCAGATTCAATAACACTAACGTTTGATAAAGAATTATGTGAATTTAAAAGATTATTTTTATGAACATTACTTTTAAAATGATTAGCTAAATACCGTTTCTTGATAAATATATGGCACGTTGGACATTCCACTTGATCATCGTTACTGATACTGTTCCCTGCAGAGGTATGCGCTTCTGCTTCCGTTGTTGGTTTTTTGATGATCTTGGATTCTTTGCTGCACGTTCGCTTCGTTCCTCTTCCAAGTTGTAGTGGTTGACTGCTAAAATGTTTAAATTTATTAAAAACTGTATAAGACAATATGTAAATTATGATCGAAATGAATGTTTATTTTACATACTTAAACTGTGTTTCAACCATCGCACAGTGATGATACAACTCATCATCGTATGACGAATCGAACAGTTGACCCCTCTCCATTTCTTCACAAACTTTAGACAACTCCTGATTTAATTGGCTATTGAATAGTTCCGTATTCTCTTCCATGATTGTGGAGAAAAAAGCACTGGTGCACACTTCACTGAAGTTTTCCCTTCCTCTTTTTTATTTTTGATTCAGCTTCAAAAAAATGATCAATCGATTGCGATTTTCTTTTTCCACCATCGCATGTGTTATTATTAATGACGAGGTTATCACTCTCTTCTTGAGGGGAGAGTGGCGAGTAGTAATACTGTTTATAGGTATCTTCATCGAAGCTCAATGATTTCTGCAACAACACAGTTATCATGTTAATATCAATTTGTTAACACTTAATCATAAAAGTTAAAAAAGTTAAAGTTACAGCCTATTAAAGTCCACTGCTGAACATAGGCCTCCTCTCATTTCTGAGAGGGTTTTAGAGCAAGGAAATGTCCGCCGCGCTCCCTCAATGTGTGTTGGCGAACTTCACATGCCTTCGAAATTTTCTCAGACATGCAGGTTTCCTCACGATGTTTTCCTTCACCACCAAGCACGTGGTAATAAGCACTTAAAATTGCTATTAACAATTTAATTGGTGCTGGCGGGGATCGAACCCGGGTCGCGTACTGTGAAATTTACAGCTAGCGCTAACCATCTGAGTTACCACGGCTTAATCATATACATACACAATATTTAAATAAAATAATACACACACATGAAAATAACAGAAAAAAGTAATTTAGTCAATAGAATAAACACTTACATCCATAGCCTTTGGTGTATTGAAGTAACACAAATGTACTATTGATAGATCCACTGTAGCCAAACGACCGTACACTAACTCGATGACTGCGTTTGTTGGTCTTATATACCACCAGTACGTAAAAATTCTAATCTAAAGTATTTCCGTAATGAGTTGATAATTACTTTATGCGTCAACCAGTTTATCTCACATTTCCGTTGCCTATCTCAACATTTCTTCGTATTGTGTTTTGTTTGGTGATCAATGACTCAAGTACGATTTGTATAACACAAAAATGCAATTTAATATTTAGAAACATATCAGTTTATCTCACATTTCCGTTGCCTATCTCAACATTTCTTCGTATTGTGTTTTGTTTGGTGATCAATGACTCAAGTACGATTTGTATATCACAAAAATGCAATTTAATATGTAGAAATCACTATAATTGACCATTCCTATGTTATTCATTGAGTAGCTAGGTACTGTAATAATCTACTAATAGCAGTAATATCATGGATACACTAGATGTACAACAACATCTGAAAAAGATTCACCCCAGTCTAGAAAATAATGTTTATGCAGCTAATAGACTGCCTATGTATACCCACGTACCAACGTATATAATATGTAATTTGGATACAGATGATAAACCAGGGTCACATTGGGTAGCTTTATATATCGATACGAATGACGTCGGTCAATATTTTGATTCATATGGACGATCACCTGTACGATATCATCTAGAGTTTTTAAAAAGGAATTGTAAAAGATGGAACTGGAATGTTGATAGGATTCAGAATGAGTGGACTTCAGTTTGTGGCGAATATTGCTTAATGTATTTGCTATACAAGTTTCAAGGATGTTCAATACATAGTTTTACGAGTATATTTACAAGGAACACATTGTACAACGATATTTTAGTGGATGAGATGTTTCGCTCCTATTTTATAGATAATAATTAATAAGATTTTGTATTTTATAAATAAAAATTGTAACAAAATTATGTAATGTGTTTTATTGATGATTCAGATTAGCGTTGTATAAACAAAGAATTATAATAAACAATAGCACTGATATAGTCGACGCACACGCTGCAATGAAGGTGATTAAGGAACAATAGAACAATAGAAATAGGAACAATGGGACGCTAATGACGGTGGAGGCCCTTACCGGATATCAATTAGATATTAGCTAATTGATCTACACATCTCCGGAACCGTGCATTCTACACAAAAATGGACCGCGGATTCGTGATCAGAGCATGCCAAAACTTTTTTTTTTTTTTTTTTTTTAGGATCGAGCGTCGACGAACGTCGTTGAACCACGTCTGACTCAGGTGGTCTAGAAGTGGTACAACTACACTACTCTATATCGATAAAATTGTAACGTTGTGATTTTTAACTAGCTGAAAGAAGAGTCCTTCCTATTATTAAATATTACCATTAGATTTTATGCGTTTTAATTTTTTTGCGCGGTACCCTAATTCTTTACGGACATTTTGAAATTTTTTTATAAGCACCGTATATACTTTCATATGCGTTTAGTAGTAAAGCTATTATTTTGACATTACAAACAGACACTTCAATTTTATTTATTTGTATAGATAGGTATGTAATAAAGGGTGTGATTTCACCGCGCGGATTCGTTATTCGAGATAATGTTTTTTGTTTACCTATTTTTTACTTTTTTCTTATCTTGTAAATCGTTTATAAATATAAAACTATTGTATAAAAAGACACTTCCTTATTACTTACTTAGATCTCCTTACATTAAATGAATGCGTCAATACGCTATCAACCCTGAGAGCTAATAGTCTGAGAGTTGGCGACGAATTTTGGGAAGGTTCTTTGGGCATGTTGAAATTGTGAAAAAATATAATTTCGTCAATTGGCAAATCCAGTCCCGCGAGTCTGGCAGAGGGTTTGCGGTTATTTCGTTACTGCGCAGCATATAACGTTTGCGAAAAAAAGTTCCAAAAAAATGTTTTTGTGGCAACTTGATTTCTTTTTTATCTTTTAATTTGGTTTGTATATAATTCCAAAAAAATAATCCCATACATTTTTGTCGGTTTAAAGTATTACCAGAACTCTCCAAAACTTTTAAATAAAACTAATTTTACGGATTTTATCGCGTATATTAACTTATTTTACATTCTCCAAAACTTCCACCACATTCATCTCTGGGCGGTAAGCACTTTATACATATTGTCCTTTTTTAACATCATGGGGTGATAATTATCAAGACATAATATATTGCCAAGTTTACTATTAATACGACGTTAAAAGTAATAGCTATTATACAAATTATTAGAAAGAAAGAAAGAAAAATTATTTATTACATCAAACACCAACACACATGTTACAAAAGATATTATGCACTAAAAAACTTATAACTACAGATCAAAACAAAATTAAAACATAAATAAAATCATTACAGTCAAAATTTTAATATGTGTGTGGGTTTGGTATAAAATGGTATTACATATGGTATTACAGCACTGATCTAAAATAATTCAAACTATATACTTTTTTTTTGGAATAAAAGATATTTACATTTTTTTGGAATTATAAAATATTAAAAAAAAATATGTTTTGTTACTAGCACAGAAAAGGTTTCGGTTTATTCGCAATATCGCCGTAGTCAAAAATTGATCAGTACGATATTTTTTATACCTATTTTAAATTATACTTGTATACAAGTAGCCAGTAAAAATAAACACTCTATCTGAATAAAATATACTACGTGATATCTTTATATCGCAAAATTGAACAGAAATGTGGTTGATAAATTTAATAACGTCGGCAAAATGGATTTCTAACGTTACGCGGCTATCTTGAGACTGTGTAAAGGCAATAAAAATAAAAACAATATTAAATGATATCATTCCTTACGCAAATCCGGAAAAATATTATAATTTATTGTGTTGGCTCCATCCAGAAAGTTTTAAAAAACATAATATTTATACACAACCCGTTTCTAAGAATAAAATTGGCAACTTTTATGTTCAATAGATTTATTTTTATGTACTAATTCGTAAAAATATACTATATACGTGTTTGCATGTTTCCCGTGGCACTGATGTAGGTTATGTTCTGCGCTATCGTTAACTTAATATAGTAGCAGGAAAATACTAGATGATGGGTCTACTTTTCTACCTGGGAGCCCGTCAGGATAGGTACCAATCTCTTACCTGGTCTTAAAGGTATTCAGAGCCACTATAGTTACAGATTGCGAGGCATTCCATCTAACTCCTCAGAGGTGACAACGCATCTGCAGCCTTCTTTGCATGAAAATGACTGCATGGCTACTTCAGTCCATGGTAGTATATCAGGTGGACTGAAAAACATTAGCTAACGTGTTCGCGATTTGCCAAGAGTACTTATTTAATAACATTGCACTTTTATAACAATGTTTTGTATTTTTATCTATTGATTCATGTATTGACCCTCTCTCTCTCTTAATTACAGCGCTGACGGTCCGCTTTTTAACCAAGCGATATATCGGAGAATACGACCACCAACAAGGTAAAGAAACAGTTTTACATATAATATTTCATTTGATGTGCAAAAGTTCAACAAATGTTATAAAAGTTTTCTCTTAAGTTCGGAAAAAATGTTCATTATCGACTTTTTCATCATTAACTAGTAAACCACATACACTTTTGTACGCTTATATAAATCGTCATACTTTATCCAAGGTTGTACGTTAGCCTCACATGGATTTGACATGTCAGGCGGTTTGGATTTCATACTTTTGGCATTTTCCACAAAGGTGTTATTGTTATTTTAAGTCAGATACAATATATGAGATATGAATTTAAAATATATATTTAAAAATGTCTAACTCGACATGGAAAATCGAAACAAACTACTTTGCATTTGTTACGGCTTGAATGTTTCGCAAAGTGTTTCGTGGGTGGTTTTGGGAACCAGAGAACAACCAGACCAAGGGCTGGCCAACCCGATGATCCCAACCGGGAACCGGTAAACGAAAATAGCTTTAGAACTGGGTAGATAAGGCAAGGATACTCACAAGACTGGAGCACTCCTCGTGGTAATGGTGAAGTCTAAATATTTATGCTGAAGTTCTGGTGTATACACAGACACCACATTGTACTCCAAATATATATGGACACGAGCAATAGCGCGATAGTCTTACAACCTTATTTATTATTTTAAACGAGCGGTGACGAACACGGTTTATGCGTACGAGGCCATCTTGCTTCTTCTTTTTCTTGGCCATAGGTGGCACACCATTCCTTGAGTAGTGCGTATATAGGAGAGATGGGAGGATAGAAAATACTTAGCAAAATCGTATTATATCGGGACTGTTCCGAAGCCACAACATTCTCTCCCAGCTGAAATCACCTAGGGATTTCACAAGACCACCATCGATCCGGCAGCTCTCCAGGTCCTCAGTTGCTCATAGAATATACATTAATATAAACTTAATAAAAATCTGAACTAAGTTGTGCATTGATAACAGTAACCACTAAGCATCCAATCTGGTCCTGACCACCATCGCTTACATTTGACCAACTCTGCGCACGAGAGACCTAGACGGTCGAGACATGGCTCCAGGTAAGGCCAAGGTTCAACTGCGTCAGTTATTATAACTACTCGATACGCAACAAAAAGAATAAGTTTGTATGGCTCTGTATTGATTCAAGCTAATACAGTTGAGATATCAGTGTAGGCTCGTTGCCTATGAGATATATTTATTTTCAAAATAAGTAAAGATTGCATGTGTTTGAAAGTACGTGATAACAAGAGCACACCGCACAACTCCAAACGATTAAGTGCTAGAGGGTTAATCGGAGCTACTCTAGATTTAGAAATCAAAAGACAAATTTGTTTTTGATCATTGATACTTGATTGGAGATAGACACAGCATCCATATGCTTTTGTTGATCCATCACAAAACCCAATCAGCTGGTGTGTAGCTGCTAAGTCAATCACGGTTTTATGAGGGATTTTTATCGATTTTATATTTAACAAGTCAGACACAAATGAAACCCAACTGTTACACAAATTGGCGGGAATGAGTTCATCCCAAGACAATCCAATACGTCATAAGTTTTGAGGAAGTAGTTTGGCCAAAAGAATAAAAGGTGAAAGCCAACCCAACGGATTATAAATACGAGTAACGTGGGACAGGATTGAACGTTTCGTAAACTGCTCATTCACAGGAGAGACAGAGTAAGTGAAATAGTCTTCCGTTGGATCCCATTGAACTTCTAAAACCTTAAGCGTTATTGAACCATCATCAGAAAATGACTTCGGTAACGATCGAATAAATAAGGGGCTGTTACTGCTCCACTTACGCAAATCTAACTGTGCACAGTTAAGAAGATTAATCAAATCTTCTTTAAGCTGAGAAGCTGCTACGATTGAGGAAACACCTGTAATAATATCGTATCGTTTAGTAACCGCGAAGAACTTCAGCAGCATGAGGAAACTGATCACCGTGATCTGCAGCTAACTGATGTAATGTTCGTATCGCTAAGTACGGCGATCTTTAGACTCCGTATGTGACCGTACGAAGTTGAAATTCTTGAACAGACAAAGAAGGGGATTCACGCCATAGTACGTGTTGCCATACTTGATCCTCAGGCCTTATCAAGGTTTGCCTGTACATCTTAAATATGTCACATGTAAACACTATATTATGGATCCTAACTGCTGCTAACGACTGCTTCAATAAGATAGGAACAACATATCGACCGTCCGATTCCCTATAAGTTTGAGTGGAATACAGGCGTTCGACTTCCTCATCTTCTGGAGCAGTATATGTTGATGAAGCGGTTCCTCGACTTCCCAAAATCGTTTCACCATCTTATCCAATGAATTGGTTAAAGTAATTAACAAAGTGCCCACCAGTTTTACCTGACTATCCACATGTGTACCCTGAGAGAACCCAACCAAAGACGCTATGTACAGCCGTAGGATAGCCGGGCTATGGTTGGATAATAGGAGCGTCATAGATGTGATGAAATACTTCAGCCCCTAGCAATAAATCAACATCACACGGTTTGTTAAAGTCACGATCCGCTAATACTAGGTGTTTATAACAGTCTCGGACCGCTAGAGGAATATCAGTGATTGGCATTTTAGAAGTAATGTTATCGATGACTATAGGGTTAATGTCGAATTGCGGGTCATTCGAATCACAAGGTCGTATAGAGCATTGAGTAACTCCCATGACTTGACATACAGACTGTTGAATTTCAAAATTCACCCTGGGCTGGGCTGCCTGCTACATGCGCGCGAAGGCTATCCGCGAATCGACTGGTTATTCCACGCGCGGGTTTGTTTTTTTGTAATTTTTTTTATAGTATAGGGTGACAAACGAGCACACAGCCAACCTGATAGTAAGTGGATGCTGTGGCCCATAGACATCTACATTTATCCTCAATTAAGAATCCAAATGCAGTTCAGTTGTCAAATGTGAGGACTAAGATGGAATGCCTCGTTTCCAGTAAAAAGGGTCTCCGGTGCTCTACACTCACCATACGAAACACAGCAGCGTTAAGCTGCTATTTTACGCTGGTATTCTGTGAGAGCATGATCCTTCCCCGGTCGAGCCGACCCATTCCTGCTACAACAGTTATTTCAGCTGTCCCTAGTTGCCCTAAAAATCAAACAGTGATAGCACAACTATACACTGAATAGTTATCTACAGCAATAGAGTGTTTACTTGAAAATATTATGTAAAAATGTTCACAACGTTTTATAAATTTTTTTCCTAATGCCGAGTCAGTCGCTCTTAGAAGTTAATTGAGAAAAATCCACACTTTCTCACTTATCTGATCTCACCGCCACTTCATCGTTTTCGGTCGCTATAGTATAATTTGAAAGAGTAACATTACAACAAGTAACAACAACAAGTAAAAACCCTAAGGATATTGAAGTGAACATCAACGTATTCTCAATTTTTATCGTTAAGAAATTCTCACTCTGCCTAATAGATGGAGGAAGGTCGAGTATTCTGCATGTGATTATTTTACTGAATAAAAATACTGTATAACTATAAATAAAAATGTAAATATCCATTTGTTTAAAATCTTAAATCTCCGAAAGGTTTTTACCGGTTGCTATGAATTTTTGAAAAGTTGCGATGGAATATGCGCTTGTTTATATTGTATATACCTACTTTTAAAAAAATTGACCCACAGCAACGCGTGGCTGGGTAGGTACAGCTAGTTTTTTTTTTAAATCTCTTAAAAAGTAATGTTAACTTTTTGCAAAGACTTTATATGCTACCACCCAACAATTATAACAATAATAATCACATCGTCTAAGGAGATCAGAATACCATGTTGGCTTTCACATCACAGATATTGGGTTCTACTTGCGGCTGCAATCAACATAATTGTGTGAAAAAAATTACACAACTGTCGCTATAATTTTTTAAATGATTCCATAAGCATTAATATGTTACTTTTCCAGACAGCAAGTACAAACATGAAGCCTTACTCGACGGCGAACCAATTCTATTCGAAATACTGGACACGTGTCCTAAGGTAATTATTTTTATTCCACTTTTGATAAAATATTACAATTGATAAAATGATAATAAATAGCAATGGCGTTAGGACAATACTTGTTGAAGTTGTTCCTGTAGTATTTTCTGCAAACGTGCTCGGAATTTGAATGGTGGAAGGTTAAAATGTCATAATTCTCCGAGAAGATGCAAACTGCATAAGGATTTTCATCCCGCAAGCTCACCTCTCCACACTCTTAGCTGATTACAGTGTGTGGTGATCATTTAGCAAGCGACGAGTCACCACCTGCCACCTTTAATACAGTGAGATATGATAAGGTGTCTCGAGTCTCTCCTCAATAATTTTGGATCCCAACTCATTGAGCATGCCCATCTTATAGCTCAACATTTCCCCCCTTTTTGCCAGTAGTTTGTATATGTTCTGGAGCTTTTCCTCGGATACATGTTTATTATGTATGCGTAGAAAGAACTAAAAGTAGTAAAATTTTCTTAAAGGCCTCTGTGTATTCGACCCATGTCAAATCCTAAGCCTATTAAATGAGGTGGCCTCAGCGGACCCGAAATCAAAAAGTGGAGATACAAATAATGACAACAATTATACAAAAATAAATATAGTCAGTATGATTTACGATCAGGTTAGTAGGACGAAAAATTGTTCGAGAGACGTTCCAAGATCTGGCATGTCAACATCGATAGAGCTTTTTACTATCCCGATGGTAAAAAGCTCTATAGATTATATATTATATATTGGGCATGTTACCTCCAGTTGTTTCGTGCTTTTTAACTCTGAATATTGGCACAGATACAACCTAGTAGTAGTAGACTAAGGTATAGATCTGAAACTGGTTTATACATGGTAGAGCCACGCTGCAGCTATATCTTGGTTGTGACACGAATGGGTTGGCTCGACCGGGGTCACTCACACAGAATACCAGCATAAAATACCAGCTTGATGCTACTGCGTCGCGTATGGTGAGTGTAGAGAACAGGAGAACCTTTTTACTGGAAACGAGGCATTCCATCTTAGCCCTCAAGGGTGACAACGCATCTGAATTTAGATTCCTAATTAAGGATAAATGTAGATGTCTATGGCCACAGCATCCACTTAACATCAGGTGGACTGTGTGCTCGTTTGTCACCATTATTCTATAAAGAAATATAAGTACTCATAGGAGGCTGAACTGGAAAATGACCGCATGATATATTTTTTTATAGAAGAGGGGGCAAACGAGCATGCGGCTCACCTGATGGTAAGTGACTACCGCCACCCATGAACAACCGCAACACCAGGGGAATTGCAGATGCGTTGCCGGCCTTTTAGAAAGGTGTAAACTCTTTTCTTGAAGGTTCCTAAGTCGTATCGGTCCGGAAAATTCGCTGGTGGTAATTGATTCCACAAGGAAGTTGTGCGAGGGAGAAAACTTCTTCTAAATCGCACAGTGGTGGACCGCCAATCATCCAGATGGTATGGATGGTAACGCGAGTTTTGTCGTGATGTGCGATGGTGAAATTGAGCGGCTGGAATCAGTCCGAACAATTCCTCAGAGCACTCCCCGTGATAGATGCGATAAAATACGCAAAGAGATGCAACATCTCTACGCAGTGCCAGTGTATCGAGCCGATCAGAAAGAACTCGGTCGTCGACGATTCGAACCGCTCTGCGCTGGATGCGGTCAAGTGGAAGGAGCTGGCACTGGGGTGCCCCGGCCCAGAGATGAGAACAGTATTCCATGTGGGGCCGAGCTTGCGCTTTGTAAAGTTGCAAGCGATGTGCCGGCATGAAATACTGTCTCGCTCTGCTGAGCACGCCAAGCTTTTTAGAGGCCAATTTGGCCTTCCCTTCCAAGTGACCACGAAACTGCACACTATTCGATATGTCAACGCCAAGGATTCCGACACTAGCTGAGGCAGCAAGGGGAGTGCCTTGAAACTGAGGAGATACGACAAAGGGGTTCTTTTTAGCGGTAAACGCGCAAACTTGTGTCTTCTGGGGATTGAACTGGACTAGATTTAGTCGGCCCCATTCCGAGACTTTGTTAAGCAAAGACTCGACTTCAGACACAAGTTTGTTCCGGTACTCAGCGACGTTTTCCCGAGAAATATTGGCACGGCCGGTATATAAGGCATCACCAGTGCTGTCGTCTGCATAGCCATGAATGCTACTAGTTAGCAATATATCATTGATATGCAGGAGAAACAGCGTTGGTGATAGCACGCAGCCTTGTGGAACACCAGCGTTGATAGGCTTGAAATCAGAGCATGCACCGTCTACTACGACCTTGATGCTCCGATCAGCAAGGAAACTGGTGATCCACTTGCATAATTTCTCGGGAAGCCCATAGGAAGGAAGCTTCGAAAGAAGCGCTTTGTGCCAGACCCGATCGAAGGCCTTCGCTATGTCCAAACTAACGGCCAATGTCTCCCCCTTGGACTCTACTGCCTCCGAAATTACCATACTATGTGACGGGTATTTCGTGAAAGCCTAACCTCCCGAGGTAGGCGACATGTGGGGTGGTACCGGTAGAAATCGTCCCCGTAATCGTTTCTGTGAACGGGTTAATCCCTGTCAGTCTCACTAGTCAGCCGAGGCGACTGTGACTCCGTGACGGATCGCTTACCGCTATACCGTCGTCAGTAGTGTAGTTGTACCACTTCTAGACCACCTGAGTCAGACGTGGTTCAACGACGTTCGTCGACGCCCGATCCTAAAAAAAAAAAAAAAAAAAAAAAGGTTTTGGCATGCTCTGATCACGAATCCGCGGTCCATTTTTGTGTAGAATGCACGGTTCCGGAGATGTGTAGATCAATTAGCTAATATCTAATTGATATCCGGTAAGGGCCTCCACCGTCATTAGCGTCCCATTGTTGTTCCTATTTCTATTGTTCTATTGTTCATTAATCACCTTCATTGCAGCGTGTGCGTCGACTATATCAGTGCTATTGTTTATTATAATTCTTTGTTTATACAACGCTAATCTGAATCATCAATAAAACACATTACATAATTTTGTTACAATTTTTATTTATAAAATACAAAATCTTATTAATTATTATCTATAAAATAGGAGCGAAACATCTCATCCACTAAAATATCGTTGTACAATGTGTTCCTTGTAAATATACTCGTAAAACTATGTATTGAACATCCTTGAAACTTGTATAGCAAATACATTAAGCAATATTCGCCACAAACTGAAGTCCACTCATTCTGAATCCTATCAACATTCCAGTTCCATCTTTTACAATTCCTTTTTAAAAACTCTAGATGATATCGTACAGGTGATCGTCCATATGAATCAAAATATTGACCGACGTCATTCGTATCGATATATAAAGCTACCCAATGTGACCCTGGTTTATCATCTGTATCCAAATTACATATTATATACGTTGGTACGTGGGTATACATAGGCAGTCTATTAGCTGCATAAACATTATTTTCTAGACTGGGGTGAATCTTTTTCAGATGTTGTTGTACATCTAGTGTATCCATGATATTACTGCTATTAGTAGATTATTACAGTACCTAGCTACTCAATGAATAACATAGGAATGGTCAATTATAGTGATTTCTACATATTAAATTGCATTTTTGTGTTATACAAATCGTACTTGAGTCATTGATCACCAAACAAAACACAATACGAAGAAATGTTGAGATAGGCAACGGAAATGTGAGATAAACTGATATGTTTCTAAATATTAAATTGCATTTTTGTGTTATACAAATCGTACTTGAGTCATTGATCACCAAACAAAACACAATACGAAGAAATGTTGAGATAGGCAACGGAAATGTGAGATAAACAGGTTGACGCATAAAGTAATTATCAACTCATTACGGAAATACTTTAGATTAGAATTTTTACGTACTGGTGGTATATAAGACCAACAAACGCAGTCATCGAGTTAGTGTACGGTCGTTTGGCTACAGTGGATCTATCAATAGTACATTTGTGTTACTTCAATACACCAAAGGCTATGGATGTAAGTGTTTATTCTATTGACTAAATTACTTTTTTTCTGTTATTTTCATGTGTGTGTATTATTTTATTTAAATATTGTGTATGTATATGATTAAGCCGTGGTAACTCAGATGGTTAGCGCTAGCTGTAAATTTCACAGTACGCGACCCGGGTTCGATCCCCGCCAGCACCAATTAAATTGTTAATAGCAATTTTAAGTGCTTATTACCACGTGCTTGGTGGTGAAGGAAAACATCGTGAGGAAACCTGCATGTCTGAGAAAATTTCGAAGGCATGTGAAGTTCGCCAACACACATTGAGGGAGCGCGGCGGACATTTCCTTGCTCTAAAACCCTCTCAGAAATGAGAGGAGGCCTATGTTCAGCAGTGGACTTTAATAGGCTGTAACTTTAACTTTTTTAACTTTTATGATTAAGTGTTAACAAATTGATATTAACATGATAACTGTGTTGTTGCAGAAATCATTGAGCTTCGATGAAGATACCTATAAACAGTATTACTACTCGCCACTCTCCCCTCAAGAAGAGAGTGATGACCTCGTCATTAATAATAACACATGCGATGGTGGAAAAAGAAAATCGCAATCGATTGATCATTTTTTTGAAGCTGAATCAAAAATAAAAAAGAGGAAGCTGTTATCATCAACCGTAGCACGAGCCGCTAGAGATGGTGTATCATACATTTCTACTAATTCTGACGACGGAGACCAAGCGACGCATCTCATCAAAATTGAAATGTACGATATGAAGAAGCTATCCAAGATTCCAACTACTGATCATTGGAAACATGCTTCCACTAGAATTAAATATTACGTAAAGACTAATAAGGATAGCATCTACGACAACACAAACGCCCTCGTATACAATATAACAAAGACAATAGCAGAAAGTGAAAAAGTTAAAAAATACTTTTTTAACAATGACAGTCATTAGCTGATCATTAGTGAATGTGATTCTGTTTACTTCAATTACAGGAAGACAAGAGCGGAAGGAAGAGATGAGTGTGGCATACGTGTACAAAACACATCATTGAA